AAAAAAACAAAATCTAGAGTAAATAATTTATTTCCCTTTGGTATTAAAAAGTTTAAAAAAGGTCATCTTTTTTTTAAAAAAAAAGGCAAGAAATTCTCTTCAAACCACATCAGAACCCATGCCAGCTTGATACAGAGCCCTCTCCAGAGTAGTGATGTAATAATTTGAAAGTGTACATAGTGCAGTTGCCAAAGCTTACAGTGTTTAGTTTCAACAGTTTGCCAGCATCCACAGCTCATTATTTTTTTCGATATGTACCACATTATAATCACATTGATCGATGTCGTTGGGGTAGCAGAAATAGTTAGATTATGTTTATGCTTTCCAAGGTAATGGTGCTGTTTTGCCTCTTACCTGCTTCTGAGCATTATTCCCCTACTACTATCATACTTATTCACTTGGGTAATGTCTGCAAAATTGTGACAGAGAGGGGCAGTTTCCACTTTGCCTAGTTATGGTTTGCAAGGAAACCCTTCTTATGCATAGGTATCTATTCAGGCAATTCCATGTGCTACATTCCATTCATTTACCAAGTCTTAGATTCTTATCCAAAGTTTAGTATTTGGGTATGCAATTACATATTATACATTACGGCAAGAGCATACCACCCCCTCTCCCCACCTCTCTTTGAGAAAACTCCAAGCCAGTGAAGCAAATCCAGATGTTATGGGTTGAGGCTGGCCCCCTCTGTTCAGAATTGTTGATAGCACAATTTTGTTTGGAATGTACTAGGCTTACTCAACACCTACTGTTGCTAACCATCATGTTTTTATAACCAAAGGGCTTGGAGTTTGCCCCCTTTCCTGAACAGAAAGAACTACACACTTAAGCTCCATGAGACTAGCTCCCTATCATTTAAGAGAAATAAGGGCAGGTATGCAGAAGAGGGTAGCCTTGCTACTGGGAGTAAAGTTTGGGATGAGAGCAGGTACAGCTGCAACTGCAGCTCCTTAACCATACCTGGCCTTGTCTAAATTTTAAATAGAATTGTTTGACATCAACATAAATGAACTACTGTGAGCTCTCTGGCCAAATAATGCCTTGCATAAGGGGTAAGTATACATTAACCATACTCAATGTCTATTGGCCACCTTCTTTGTGTCCCAGGCAATGTGCTAGATACTGATGATAAGATATTTTTTCAAGAAGTCACAATCTGGAAAGAGGCACAGACTCTTAGCAGATAAATTAAAATTCACTGATTATATTTTTTGCTCATACAAGTTAATATCTTGTTCACTTTGTAAGTTAGCTAGTGAAGCCAGCTCACAGGATTGACTCTCTGACCTTCTAAGAATAAGTATGAAATTTCCTTTAAATTCTAAAGTATACCTATTGAATTGTATTTTTGCCTCTTTAGATACCTTTCTTGACTTACCAGAGATGACAACATGTGGAGTGTTGGAAGGAAAAAACTATGCAATGGAGAAAGGCATTTCTAAGAAGGATTCCAGAATTGACTATCCTGTTCTAAGGAATGTTTCTTTTACCTGAAAAAGATGAGAATGCACAAGTTTCCTTAGCTGTGTTGATTATCAGGCTGTTGTAAGGTGAGAGTAGGAGAAATGATTTCCATCTCTTTATGGAATGTAGGCCTCTTTAGCTACATTATTATGCACTTAAGGCAGAGTCAAAAAGCACTTTTTTTTTTTTTTAAAGAGAGATAATGAGAGAAAGGGAGAGGGAGAGAGAGAGAGGGAGGGAGAGAGGGAGAGGGAGAGGGAGAATTTTTAATATTTATTTTTTAGTTTTCGGCGGACATAACATCTTTGTTTGTACGTGGTGCTGAGGATCAAACCCGGGCCGCACACATGCCAGACGAGCGCGCTACCGCTTAAGCTACATCCCCAGCCCAGCACATTTTCTTTATAGGTACTTATGGATGGGTGAGATCACATTTACTTAGTGATGCTGTTACTATGTTGTAACTTCTTATTTAGCCCCATTTTTTAGTATGGGCATATGAATACTTCATTAGGCATCTTATTAATCAAGAGAAGAATATTAAATGGCTCATGCCCAAACTCAAAACAATCTCAAACAAAATGTGTAACACTATTTAAATAATAATAGCTAATATTTACATAGTACTTATATTTCAGGTTTTTTTTGGGGGGAGGGTACTGGGGGTTGAACTCACGGGCACTCAACTACTGAGCCACATCCCTAGCCGTTTTATATATTTTATTTGGAGACAGGGTCTCACTGAATTGCTTAGGGCCTTGCTAAGTTGCTGAGGCTGGCTTTGAACTCATGATCCTCCTACTTCGGCCCTCCCAAGCCGCTGGGATTATAGGTGTGCACCACCTTGCCAGCTTGTTTTAGGTATTTACATGTAAAATATTTAAAAGATGGGTTGGTCTAATTCTCACAACAACTTAGTAAGGTAGGTACTTTTTTTTTTTTTCTCATTTTACAGATGAAAATAAGAAGGCAAAATGAGATAAATAATTTGCCTAAGATCACAGATAATAAGTGGCAAATCCAGGAAAGGAATTCAATAACTCCATCTCTATACCTATCTTAATCACTACTGATACTATACCATTTCACATTCAGTTTAACTCTGGCTGAAGTAGAGTTTCCTAGAAGCAAGGGGTGACAGTATCTACCATTTGAATAGAGTGCCTCCTGTGTAGCTAGGCATTATACATGTCATTTTACTTTTTAATCTCTGGGCCTGTGAATCAGTCTCCATTCTTACAGATAATAACTAACTTAAATTTATTAGACATTGTACTAAGTGATTTACTTAATTTCACTTAATGTTGACAGCAGTTCTATGGATAATTAGTGTTCTCGTTTTGGAAATAAGAAAACTGAAGCTAGAGAAGGTCATTTGCCTGTGGTTATATAGCTAAGGAGGAACAGAGCTAAGATTTAAATATAGGTTTGCCTGACTCAAGATCCCAATGTCTTAACTACCACATAATGCTTGGAGGGAAGCAGTAATTAGCTAGAAATTCCATCAGTGAAGTCAGTCTCAGAGCTTCCAATCTTATTCCTCATGCCTGATTCTCACATATTTGTTGGTTAATTGTTACCCTTGTTTTTCTCACTTTTACAGATGCTTACAAGAGAGAAACATGTTAGGTGTCAGAGATAGCTCTTTTGTCTAAAAATAGGAGATTCTTGTCTGATGTCTTCATGAAGTCATGGCATTTATTGAACTTGTCTTTTATTAAGGCTTTAACTTTTTTAAAATTTTATTTTCTAGGATCATCACTGTTTGGATTTCTTTCTATTATCTTTACAGGGATTTCTGGAAGTTGTAGCGGGACAATCTTAAACATCTGTGAAATTCTATTTTTGAAATAACATAGTTTATCTTGTCTCCTTAGTATTACAGGTTTTTCTTTTCTACCTAATATATGTGGCTGGTGTTGAAGATTTGTTTGTTTCAAGTAATTTTTTTTTTTTAATGTAGGAACCTGCAATGTCCCCCTAAATCTCAGTAGTTGCAGTTAGCTCTTGAATCTCATATGTAGTTCATTCTCAGGGACAAAGCCAAAACCAGTTGCCTTAGAAATGAGTATCTTCTGTCCCTTTTCCTTTTTCTAAAATATCTCTAATTCTGGATTTTCTCTTCTTTCTCTCCAATCTGTTGGTCACCAAGATTTTTTATATATGGCTCCCAAATATCAAAATCTGATATAAGGTACTCAATAGATATAAGAAAAATAAAAAAAATTAAATGACCTGCTATTGCATATCCACAGACTGGTTAAATTAAAATAGTAAACAAAACTGATCACACAAAGTGTTGATGAGAACAACTGGAATACACACTGTTGGCAGAAGTGGAGTGTGAATTCGTACAAACCCTTTTGAAACTTTGAGTTGCATCTATGAAAGTTGAACACAAGCAATTCCATTTCTATGCATATGCTCTACAAAAATGCATAAAGTATCCTCTTGAAAGACATGTAGAAGAATATGCAGACAGTATTATTTGTAATAGTCCCTAACTGGAAATAGGTAAATATCTATTCACTAAAATGGATAAATAAGTTGTAGTAAAATCTGTAAAATGGAATACCTTATAGCGGTGGTAAACCAGGACACACTCTCACAACGTGCAACACAGTATGGATGAATCTCCTAGACAAAATGTTGAGCAAAATAAGACAAAAGATTATGTAGTACATGATTTCCCTTTATATAAAGTTCAAAAAGAGGCTAAACTATTCTGAGGTGATGGAGATCAGAATAGTAGTTAGTTCTAATGAGGGAATAAAATGACTGGGAGGGCACAAGGTATTCTATCTTGATTTGTATATTGGTTCCCCACGTGTTCCCTCTGGAAAAAAAAAATTCATTTAGGGGCTGGGATTTTGGCTCAGCAGTAGAATGCTCTCCTAGCACCACATAAAAATAAAGGCATTGATATTCTCTCTCCTCTGTCAAAAAAAAAAAAAAAAGTTCACTGAACTATACATCTGAAATGTATATACTTAACTGTATTTGAACACTTGAATACAAGATTTTTTTTTTTTTTTAAGTGCTGAGCCGCAGTGTGATTTAAAAGTTTGAGGGCAAGTCCAGAAATCAAGGACTTAAAATACCATTTATGACTTTGGTATCGTTACTTTAAAGTGGTCTTCAAGAATGACTTTTTCCCCTATATATTTATATTAAAGTTAATATAAATCACACCAAACTACTAATGCCTTAGGTTGTGAATAGAGTTGTATAAAAGTTGACTTTTTTTACTAGGTAGGGATCCTATGTCAGGCCTCAAGGTTGCTAAGCAAGTGCTCAACCACTGAGCTACACTCCCAACACAAGGTTTCACTTTTTATTCTGTCTTAATATTTCTTATATTTGAGTTATTCATTGATTGATGTTTTAAGCATGCTCTTTATTTAAAAGAATGAATGACTTTGATGGAGGGAATGTTGAGCAGCAGCATGTCAAGTATTACGGTGAGATATTTGGGGCCATGTGAAACTTCATGGTGCTTTGCAAATCAGATCTCATTTAGCAATGTTCATTTAGCAGTTCAGGAAAATAACATGAAAATAACCAACCTTTTCAAATGTCTGTTTCTCCCCCTTTCCCCCTCCCTCTCTTTCTCCACCTCCATCTCCCTCCCTCCCTCCTTTCTTCCCTTTTGAATCCTTTTTTCAACTGTTAAAAACACAAAATTTACTATCTTAATTCTTTTTAAATGTATGGTTCAGCAGTGTTGCACATAGTCACATTATTGTGGTAACAGATCTCTAGAACTTTTTCATCTTGCAAAAGTCCCTACTCATTAAATAGCAATTCCCATTTTCCCCTCTTCTCAGCTCCTGGTAACTGTCATTTTACTTTGTTTCTATGAATTTGACTCCTTTAGGTACCTCACATAAGTGGAATCTTAAGACTTTTTTTTGTGATTTCATTTAGCATAATGACCTCATAGTTCATCTATTTTGTAGCATGTGACAGACCTTTGCATTGTTATTGCCACAACTTTGTTCAAAAAACCTCATCATCATTTCATCTGAATAACTGCAGCAGTCCAAGTCGTCTCTACCTCTGGACCTGCCCACTCTTACCCCATCTTCCACCCAGTGGCTAAATAAATGCACATTTAACTTTACTTGAATACCCCAGTGTCCTGACTTCCTTTAGATAAAATCTAAGTGCCTTAACATGAAGTGGGTTTATGTTATTGGACATCTTGTTCTCATTGCTCCTAAACTAGGCATACCCTTTATGCTTCATCCACTCTGAAATTCTTCCTTGTTTCATGTTCCCAGTCAGTATTTGTTGACAGTGAATCATAACTTTTGCTTAAAGCCAACCGCCTCTGCATGGAGCTAACCTAAACACTTAATGTCAGAATGTAAAAATTTAGTAATACAATGTAGACTTTCCTTTTCTTAGCTTTTTGGAGTTTAACAACTAATGATAGTGACCAAACAAAGTATTTGAGAAATTATGCTGACTAAATTCATGTGAAAGAAGGGAAAATTATTTTAAGATCTTAATTACACTGGGCTCTTTAATAAAGAAAACAGATTTTTTCCCCTCACCACAAATTTTAATACAGTATTTATTGGGGGGCCTATTATGTACATTCATTCCTGTGAGTTATCAAAGTGAAAATCTGAGAAGACTTTCTTGAGGAGCTACCCCAGTTATCCAGTTCAGATAAGTTTTTGTTGTTGTTATTTTAAACATGTTTCTCGGGCAGAGTTTTCTCACTGCTAGATGCAAAGTGATTGTGTGTATTTAAAACAGATTGGGGGAAACTAGCATATAAATCTAAAATAGAAGTTACCTTTTTTACATAAATTCAGTGAATTTTACTACTAGGGCTGGAGTGTCTTTGACAGCATGTACTTTATAAAGAAGCCCCCTTGAACCTCCTCAACTTTACCGGTTTCCCATGAGCTTTAGCTGCATTGCATGTGTTTTCTTGAGTACATGGTTTTGTCTGTAACATCCGTTCTTTTGTTCACACTGTTTTGGTGCCTGAAAATCTCGTTTTTTCTTTATTTTCTACAAATTGCACTTATCTTTTAAGATTCACCTCAGATCTCTCTTCCAGGTCATCTTCCAAGTTCAAGTGCTGCTGCTTTTTGCTTCCTAACATCCTGGCCTTTCCTTTAGCATAGCGCCCATAGTCTGTTCACAGGTTTATCTCTTCTCCTTGACTATGGGATTTTGATAGGCAGGTTTAAGGCATTTTTATGCCTGACTTGCCATGGAATGGGTGCTCAAGGACTCTCTGGATAAATAAATTGTACTGTTGTTGAGTGATAGTTAAATAAGTACCTGACTAAATGAATAATAGAAGACCAATATGAAACCTACTAATGAAACAGTTGCTCTCTAGCCACAGATTTCTGGGCAGTGGAATCCTTGTTCCTGCATATTCTCTAGCAAACTTTGAATTCTAACTGGCCTCATAAGAGAAATAAAACACTAAGGGAAAGAGAATAATAATTGAACACTATTCCATCTTTGGCATAGGCACTTTATCCTCAAAGACTCATCATTTTTGCTGTATGAGGAGCTCTTTTTTACATCTGAGGCAACTGAGTCTTAGAGATATTTAGTTAGAAATATAGTAATGAGGGGCTGGGGCCAGGGCTCAGCGGTAGCACACTTGCCTGACATGTGTGAGGCACTGAGTTCGATTCTCAGCACCGCATGTAAGTAAACAAAAAAATAAAGATTTATCAACAACTAAAAAAAAAAAGAAGAGGAGGAGGAAGAAATTGAGTAATGAAGCTTTGATCAAATTCATGTTGTCTGTGCCCCCCCCTTTTTTTGGTTTACATTTGGCTTTCTGCCCCAAATTCAGAAACATTTTTGGTGAATGCATACCAATTTCTTATTGACAGTAACTACATATCCCAGGGGCTATTTTAAGACAGAACAGGTACCTTAAAATAATAACAACTGTTTTGTTTTACCATTTACAAAGGGCTTTTACATTCATATATAGTCCAGAGATGCCATTCTTCTAAGATATTATATATTCTTTTAGGTAACATTAAAGTATTAGCACAGTGTTGGCACAATGGAGACTGGTGTGGCTATTTTAGCAAATGCTGAATATACCTCTCCAAATTAGACTGTATTGTTTATACTTCAGTTTTCACTTTTTCTGGAGACTCGAAGCCTCATAAATAATGATATCTAGCTATTTTTAAAAGTTCCCTGCATAATTTAGATTGTATACTTGCTGATATCCAGAAATCTATTTTCATTGTATGTAAAATTGCATTGTACAGACCCATATTCTTGTGGTTTTAGAAACTGGTGTTTTTAGGAACAGAAAAAATATTATCTAGTCTTTGACAGGAAAAAATTGAAAGGGGATAGAATTTCACTGAACCATAAAAAATCAAACTGGTTATAGTGAAATGAACAAGTCCCCAGGAACAAGACATCTGAGTTTAAATCTGGACTCTCTTTTAACAATTTTGACAACAAATAAGTCATTTCTTTTCAGTCTTTAGTGTCTCAGTTGAGAAAATGGCCTGATAATATTAAACCTCAGCCTCTAGTGAGATCCTGTCTCAAAAAGTTAACGAAATAACTCAGAATGCTCCTGGGTTCAGTCCCTAGTAACACACATGTGTGCATACACACATACTCACATATGAAAAAAGAAAAAAATCAGAATAGCACTGCATAGTGTTTGATATATAGCACTCCCTAGATAAGTGGTATTTCCTATTGTTTGGGGAGGTGGAATTTCTGAAACACATTGGGTATATGCAGATATCAGTTTTATGGTAGATGCAAAACTTTACTAAAAATCTGACTTTTCAAAGTGGGCAAAGCAGCTCCCATTTATGGTGTGTGGAGTTACTGCGATGATTTCTTATGTAGTGCACATATTCCAACATTTGCAGGAAACCTGAATTTTTATTTTCTGTTAAGAATTCTTTCTTGTAGAACTCAAGCAGGCTATATAGAGAAAATAGCAAGGAAATGAAAAATGATAGGAGTTTTATTATTCTGTTAAGAAGTTGTTTTTTTTTTTTTTCCCTTTCTGTTAGTGTTTACATTCCTCTTGACTACAGGTAGACATGACTACACTGGTAACAGGCAACATGAAAGGAATCTAATTGGATTGGATTGACTTTTTTTTCCCCCCTGTAAGAAATTTTTACTTTTGAAATTCAGTACAATGATCATTTAGGACAGGGTCTTGAAATATTTTCTTTCCTTTTTCTAGTCGTAGTCAGAGATGTGTTATTTCAACAATTAGGACAAATGTTGCATGTATGCTAAAGAATACTCGATGTAAATTGTTTGAGGAAAGAGTATTTCTTAACTTTCCATCTAAATGAAAGTATCTGAAGCAAAGTTGGCATTCTATAAATATTTGTTGAATAAATATTCAATAAGAATTTATAGAATTTTCTTTTATATTAGGAAAACCAAAAATAAGTATCCATCTTTAATGCTGTTTGTGATGCCCAAATTTGAAAATGATTTAGACATGAAAATATTGTTCTTTATGTATCTTGTTTTATCAGCAGTTTTATATTCCCCACCCCCTGCATTGATGGGACACATTCTTGATCTATTTCATTGGTTCCAAGTAATGAACTGTATCCATAAGAAAGATTGTTTTTATTTAGTTTGAT